TTTTAATTATTATTTTAATTAATAAATTTTAAATATTTTATTTTATTTTTCAAAATTATTTAATTAAATAAAAATATTTTTTCTCTCTTTTATATTTATTTATTTAAATAAAATTAATATTAATTCTTTTTTACCTTTCACTTCTCCTTCCTTTTCTTCTCTTTTTCTGCCTTTCCTTTTTTTTTTTTTTTTTATCCAAATAAACTGTAATGGTAGGCAGAATACGCACCCATCTAACAGAGTAAGAATCACATAGAAAGATAATTAATTACACTGGAACCAGGCTTGCCGGGAGCCATGGCAGACTGATTGAGGTTCAACAACAAACAGAAAGATGCAAGCTTTGATCCCTCACAATTGCATCCCCATGAATATAAGCCACTGAATCATGGGGTCATCTGATCACATCTCATCTCTGCCTAGAGAGAAAGATACAGGGCGAAGTTAGGTGGAGTAGATGGACAAGCAGAGATCTTGCTAGATGGGGCCCATGTACATCATCATCAGTCCCAAAATCCGGTACACCGTCGGGGTACAGGGTTGTACTTGCAAACTGCAATCAGATCCTGACAAGTGGGAGAGTGTGTTACTTTGATTGGAGGGTGAGGAAAGGAGAAGAGACAACAGGTGAGAATTGGGTGGTCAGCTGTTGGCTACTACCTGAAAAAAATTCCTTTGTTGCTGAAATGTAAAGACTAAAACCATTTTAAGAATTGATTTATATTTTTTTCCATCGATGGCTCCCTCTATTTCCTGAATTGTGCGAATCGATTTACTCTCTTTATAGAGAAGAATTGGAATTTTTTTTTTTGAATTATGGCCACTAGTTCAAGGTTCCCAAACCAACCCCAACAAGAAGGTTTGGTTGCTTTGTTTCATTTTATGTAGAATTGTCTATTGAAGAATTTTCAAAAATAATTTCGGAATTTGAGTTCAAAGTACAAAAAGTTGATTTGAAATACTTATGCAAAATGTATTTGAGAAAGTATAATTTTGATTAGACTCATATAAATAAGATTTAAATTATTAATTCAAAAAATAAGATTTTGATTCGAACCATTTACGTGAAAAATAAAAGATAGAATTTTGCTAAATTTCTTAAGAAAGAGTGGATAATTTTGAAAGGCAAAAAAAATATATGAATTGGAATTCAAATTAAACCCAATAACTTTTAGAAGAATTTCCAATGGATAAACTTAATTAAAAAGGAATGCATGTTCCAAATAGACATCTTACCCTTATAAATAGGTTAAATCCTCAATTTGGTCCCTAAACTATTGTACGGACCTAATTTGGTTCCTGAACTAAAAAAATCCTTAATTTAGTCCCTGAACTATTCTACGGATCCCCTATTTGGTCCTTATTATTTACCAATTTGCCCCAAATTAGTCCTTCCATACAAAAAAAAAAAAAAAAACTGACGTATCTAGTATTTAACGGTGAAAAACAGTAACTTAACGACAGAAAATAATAACTTAATGGTCACGTATCACATTAATAACGAGACACATCAGTTGTTTTTGTATAAAATGACCAACTTGGGGCAAACTGGTAAACAATTGGGACCAAATCGGGGATCCGTACAATAGTTCAAGGACCAAATTAGGGATTTTTTTTAGTTCAGGGACCAAATCAACGGTCCATACAATAGTTCAAAGACCAAATTAGGGATTTAACTATAAATATGACATTATCTCTTTTTCTTCTAAATCTCTTAAAGACATAAACAAATTCTTACTATTTTCTAAATAAAATAGTCATTTTTTGTACTGCAATTACTGCAAAAATCCCTATATAAAAACTATTATTTTGTTGCTTTCCAAAGAATAGTCCAATGGTTGATCTTGATAGTGCAAAGGCAAGATCAATTAGGCGCTTAATTGTTTCCTATGGACATTTTGATTTACTCCTTTTTGCATACCAAATTTGGTGGGGACAAAATTAACCTAAAAGAAAATAGCATTTACAATATGCCTTGAAGCCAATGATTTATTTT